TTTAGTAAAATCTTCGGCCTTCGAGTTTGCGTGAAACCCCTAGATAATGAATAAAAGATAATTGTCTTCAGTAATGTTATAAAGGATCTTGAGTACTACAACATTTCCGTTGTTATCTCTTGTCAGTTACGCGGAAACAGTGAAAAACCGGGACGACCCACCAAAAATGAACATACATTCTTTCAACCATTGTTAGTTGCAGTAAAATATACTTCTCTTTATTGCTACGACGTTTGACAAACTTGTGTTCTTCTAGGTCTCACCAACTCATATCTACTATCGACCCACTTTGTTTTCAAGGCATTCAAATGCACGCAAGCATCAATTACTTGACCATAGTTCGCTATTATTTATTGATATTATGAAAAGCATTATTGAGCATTATTGAGAATTCCGAAGGATTTTTTGGGATTATTTTTGTACTAGATTGCATTATTTGAATTATACAAATCTAGTACTTTCCCCCTTGCCAACAAAAAGTTGAGCGTAAAAGTGACCTAACTCCATACAAAACAGCGTGACGGTAGCATTTGTTTGGTATGGAGTTAGGTCACTTTTACGCTCAACTTTTTGTTGGTCACTTTCACTCGCAGGCCCTCATATATATATATTAGGGCGGGTCGATTTGTAGGGAGTGAAAAAAATCGACCAAATACCTATGATTTCCGTGTTCTATGGGTCATTCCAAGAAAATTTGCCCAAGGAACCATACCTCTATCGTTAAAATCGAGTCTGCAAGTATTTTGCGCACCTATGAAGTGTCAATTTCATTTTCACATCCATAATTCAAAAACTATTGATCGGATCAAGTTGATTTGACAACCGTTGGAAAGCTGAGCTCATTCTGATCAATTTACATATAAAAATCATCGATATTTGTCATACGGTTCAAAAGTTATCAGCATTTTTCTAGATTTTTGGACGTTTTTTTTTACTTTTTTACTGATTTCGTCCAAAAACATTACGTTATCGGCCATTTTTGGGCTGAATCTAAATTTTAATTCAAAGTACAATTAAAAACAAAGATTTCGAGCTAAAAATTATTGAAATCGGTTGATTAGTTCATGAGATATTGCTAAAATAGTGAACACATAAAACACCCTTTTTTATACTTTTTTGTCTTTTTAATTTTTTCACTTCAAAAATTCAAATTAAGAGATAAGAAAGTATTGGAATCAAAAAAACTATTCATTGAGTCTGGTAATAGAAAAAAAAGTGAAATAAAATTATTTTTTTTCAAAATCTTGTCTGCTTTCAAGTCTGGGTGTTTTCTTACGACTCTCTAATGTAGTCACCATAGCACCTTCTACATTCTTTGCTGTAACTCGTTTAGCAGTGGCAGCCAGCAATTGGATGTGTCTTTCCGTTCCTTGTATGTGTGGCGGAATTTCTGGATCAGGGAACGGTGGATCTTCGTAATCTAAATATCCCTCCAAATGTTCATACGAATAATTTTGCGTAAACGGTGGTTCGAATAAAATTGTATCGTCATTTAAGTCAATCATATTTGTATAGTCCGTACAATTAAAGTTTATAAAAGGTTTTTTATAAACTCTAAGTTGCGTTGGGTCGACCAGATCTTTTCGATAATGTAAAATCTTCTTTATAGCAATGTTTCGTTTTTCCATTCTATCATCGAACAACATAGATAGCAAGATATTTTCTGAGTGTGCAAAATATGCATTATCTTGAACTACTGTATTTACAACTTGACGTAAATTCGGTTGTAAATATTGTGTCCAACTTATAAATTTAAAAAGTAATGTACTACCGTACACAACAGAGCTATAATACTTAATATTGAAATACATTGGTGTATACACTTTTATTATATAGTTTGCCAGAATTCTTAAATTTTGAGTTGGTTTATTAGTTGTCACATACAACCGTAATAATCTATTGGCCTTGGTGAGCCAGCGAGAGTGTGCAATTCCTCCTGGTTTATTATAAGAAAAATCCGTCGGAATGTCACCACTAGAAATTGCATGGGCCATTTGGTACAAGTATTTCGCATCGGTAGATAATTCCTTTGGATCTATTTCACCAGGAGGCATATTTTCCAGTGCGATTTTCTCAAAATCTGGTACCACCTGAAAATAAAACATAAAAGCTGAGAAATAGAATGGAAAATCGTAAAGAATAAGCTATAAAAATTGCATACCGGAAGTTTTTCACAATCAGCAATTTGTGTGCTCAACTTTCCGGTAGCTGATCGTGGTCCAGTGGTGGATGATTTTTCCAAAGTGTCAAACAAATGTCTAAACGGAAGCTCGTTAAAGTGCAGAAGGCACACAAACCAGTGCAGTGGTCTCTTTAACTGTTTTTCGAATAGTCGCAAAACTCCACCGTGTATGCCAGTATTTGTTGGTTCACCATCAGAGCATATACCAAATAATGAATCCAGAGACAGTTGTTTTTCTCGGAAAACATCGCTTAATTGGTCGACTTTGTGTTCAGCAGATTCATTTTCCAATTTTGTGTAGCCTATCAATTGAGAATGTGGTTCCCTCAAAACAACTAGATGAGGTTCTTTTACCATCCTTGTATGCCACTTCTCATCAATTTTTTCTAAAGTTAGAGCATCATTTTTCCTGCCGTCGAATGAAAATACCAGCAAATTTGAGCCATCATACCGCTTACGAAGCGCTTCTTGTCTCCATTTTTCCTTTTCTCTACGAATTTTACTTTTATCCATGATGATAGGATTGCCACAAGCATCTTTTACGCCCAGGTCGTCCATCAGAGCTGTTGCCAATGCTGATGCCATTCTATCATGCACACCAAATCTGTCACACATCATAGCATAGTTTTCAGTATTGTATCTGGGAGTGTATGTTAGTGGTGGTGGAACATTTTGTACACCTGCTGATTGTGAACTTTCTCCAAAATCAACTTCCATAGCGTCATCATCTGGTGTGTATGTAGGATCGTTGCTCACTGGGATTGTTGGTATAGTCGTTGGTATCGTCTCTTCACTTCCACTATCGTGTTCCGGTATCGTTAGTATTCTGTCATTATTTTGATCGCGCATGAAATCTTTCAAGTTTTCTGGAATAGATCCACATGAGCAGTCATTTGTTTTCAAGTTGCATTGACATTTTCCAATATTAAGTAATTCGTTTGTTGATTGTACGAACTCTGTGAATACTGTTAGGACTGTTGTTCTTCGTTTATTTGCATTACGATATGCGTCAAGCAAAGCATTCAATTTTCTATTGATGCTACTTTTGTGTATAAGTTCAATATTAAGTTTACTCCAAATTTCAAACAATCTGTCTGTTACTTGAGGAGTAAATGTTTTATACGAAAACATTTTGCTTTGGCCTTTTGCACGTTCGGCAAGGAAAAAATAATACCGCAAGAAATCCCGTTTAGTTGGCAGATTAAGATCAAGTAATTCACAAGCCACGCCAAAAGAAGCAACATCATGAGCGACCAAATGTTGCAAACTACTGGATTGGGTATCTGTTGGGTCTTCCGATGAATGTGGTTCTGGATCCATTTTTTTAAGTGTCACTAAAAGAATTGAAAAAGTTAATGAAAATTGTCTACATTTATTTAGACTTTGTACTACTTTTGTATTTTTGCCTCAAGCCCCGAAAAACATTAACTCGGCACTGCGCTGCCTATACCAAATACACAGCAAGCATCTATGTTGAGCGAATGAATTCACTCATGCATTGAGTATGTGGTGCGTGCGTAATGACATATTGTCTCACTTGAACATATATGCTTGCTGTATTGTATATTTTATATGCGGGTTTTTTGTTCATGAATTTGATAGAATATTAATATCACTATAATAATTAAAATTAGCAATGTTTTAACACATACCTTTTAATCCTTTTTAAATTTTAAAATAGTTCGTTTTTTTAGACACAAAATTTGATTTTTTATTATTAATTTCAAGTAACATTCGATTACACTTCACTGAAATGACGCTCAAACGAAACTAACATAGCTTGTAAACAATAAAGTATGCTCTCACACATGTCATTGAATGGTGGCGTTGCTTGCAATCTGTCACACATGTCGATATACATTTGATATATGCATAGTATACATATATGTCGATAAACTGCATTACCGCCTTTTTGTTTTGAAAAAAATACGTTATATGTCGTTCAAATTGAATAGTTTTTTTGATTCCAATACTTTCTTATCTCTTAATTTGAATTTTTGAAGTGAAAAAATTAAAAAGACAAAAAAGTATAAAAAAGGGTGTTTTATGTGTTCACTATTTTAGCAATATCTCATGAACTAATCAACCGATTTCAATAATTTTTAGCTCGAAATCTTTGTTTTTAATTGTACTTTGAATTAAAATTTAGATTCAGCCCAAAAATGGCCGATAACGTAATGTTTTTGGACGAAATCAGTAAAAAAGTAAAAAAAAACGTCCAAAAATCTAGAAAAATGCTGATAACTTTTGAACCGTATGACAAATATCGATGATTTTTATATGTAAATTGATCAGAATGAGCTCAGCTTTCCAACGGTTGTCAAATCAACTTGATCCGATCAATAGTTTTTGAATTATGGATGTGAAAATGAAATTGACACTTCATAGGTGCGCAAAATACTTGCAGACTCGATTTTAACGATAGAGATATGGTTCCTTGGGCAAATTTTCTTGGAATGACCCATAGAACACGGAAATCATAGGTATTTGGTCGAAAAAAAAATCGACCCGCCCTAATATATATATATATATATATATCTACAGGTGGGCGTTTTGCGATTACTTAATCACTTGCACAATCATTTTTCGGGTGATTAAGATGGCACTTAATCACTTAATCGCTATTAATCATGATTAAGTGATTGTGCAATTGATTAATTAATCATCGATGATGATTAAGTTGTTGTCTTAATCTCGATGTCACCGTGATTAACTGTGACAACTTAATCATGATTAAGTAAATTCTTAATCATGATTAAGATGTGATTAACGAAATGATCAAGGGGGAAATCACTAGAAAGTAATTGCAGTAATAGCAAAGTAATAGTTGAAATTCAAAAGTAATAGCAATTATTTTTTGTGTAACTATTACTTTGCTATTAACTTGCTATTATGTCCAAAAATCAACAATTACTTTGCTATTACTTTATTTTTGCTATTAGTTTGCTATTACTTTTCAGATTTGCATGGAGAAAAGTAATAGCAAATAGCAAACTAATTGCAAGCAATAGTGGCCAATAGCAAAGTAATAGCTGAGTGATTCCCCCCTTGCAAAATGATTGTGTAGAATTAATTAATCATGATTAAGTAAATTTACTTAATCATGATTGTGTAAATAGTTAATCATGATTAAGATGTGATTAACGAAATGATTGTGGAAAATGGGAATCATTTTCAACATTTCTGCATTTATGGCGTCTAATGATTAATTAAATCTACACAATCATTTCGTTAATCACATCTTAATCATGATTAAGAATTTACTTAATCATGATTAACTATTTACCTAATCATGATTAAGTTGTCACAGTTAATCACGGCGACATCGTGATTAAGACAACAACTTAATCATCATCGATGATTAATTAATCAATTGCACAATCACTTAATCATGATTAATAGCGATTAAGTGATTAAGTGGTCGTATTAATCATCGTGAATTTTGGGTGTTTGATTAAGATTAATTAATCTTAATCAGATAGTCCGCCCATCTGTATATATATCTCCATTATTAAATGACAAGACATATATATATTTTCACAAACAATCGATTATTCATAACAGAAATAAATTTGATCCTCATTCACTGCATACTAAGAGCATAGCAAAGCACGCAGGGTAACGCTAGTAAAGAAATAAAATGACTCAACTTCAAAATACAATTTTCAAATATAAAAAAGTAACATCCCGATTTTGAAATCAGAGCAGCACTTTTTAATTCAGAGGATCCCGAATCTGGCGGAAGATCCCGAAATTTTAGTCTCTGTTCGGTTCGTTACTTGC